CTGAAGATGTTTAATGCTCACCTAAGGCGAATTCCCATTGCTCATTTCCTAGTGATCTCTCAGGCACCACTTCCAGATCCAGCATTGGCAAGTAGTGGGGGGCAGCTCACCTCACCTCAAGACACGATGGGATCCTGTGAGGGACCCTCTCTCTCTCTCGCTGCTGAACACAGTACTTTCCCACAGGATTTCCGACGGCTACTTTAAATCATAACTCGTATTATTTCTCCAAAGCTATCAAATTCATGAGAATCAGAACAGCCACTCAGTCTGCGCGTTACTGTAAACGTGTCCTTTTTTATCTCATGTCATACGTCCTTGACATTAAAATGGTACCAAAGAAGAGAAAGTAAACGGGCCTTAAAATCACATACAAAGCACACAAACTTTCCTAAAACGCACAAGTTTTAACTTGGAATTTAACAAGTTGCCCAACATTGGCTGCCAGCTTGAACATAAATTACGCAACGTTTAGCAAACCTAAAACGCACAAGGCCAGCTGTCAACTAGCTGACTGCTTGTTTGTGTGTTTTTAAATAAATCGATGAGGATTAAAAAACTAATCCACTGAGTTTAATCAGAAACTTGTCCGACAGCCACAAATGTCTCCAACAGGCTTCGATTCAGTAACTAAACATGAACTTCTGTGGTGCCGTGTTTCCTAACAGAGCACCGGATCCAGTGGCAGACAGGTTAAAACACAACAAACTAATACGGAGGCACGAAAATAGCGCTTTCAAACTCAGCTGTTTCCGCCCGTTATGTTTATCATCTGTCACAGTTGGGCGGTTACGAAAGCATCAAATCTTGTCAACAAGACTGTTTTTCTTCGCGCTACGAGCTAACATTAGCGGACGAGCTAGCTGCCCTGTTGGCTTATTTTCAATCAAGTATAAATATAAATAACGTAAAAAACTCTCAAAGTCAAGACAGAAATGATGAATATCACGGTTCAAACTGACACGACATAAACAAAAGACAGCACGCCGAGCCGTCGGCTGTCTCTGCTGTTTTTCTTTTTTCGTTTCAGCGAAGCTTTAAGCTCGAGCGCTAGCTCTTCTTCGCTCGTGCGCAAATTCCCAAGTACTCGCGCGGAAACGCTTTCCGTGTCACTCATAAGCTCGTCGGCCGGTAAATGCCCACCGTGTCCCTTTCTGCGCTTTAACGTGTCTTCAATGTCAGGACCTGATAAGAGCGACACGGCGTCCAAACAACAGCAACTTCAGGCATCAACAACAGCCAGTAGAATCAGCTGATAATTCAACTTCCTGTCTTCGGCGCACATTCGAGGTCGACGTCATGACGTCATGGTCAGGTGACAGCTAGAGACGTTTTAAGTTCTCTCCTGCTTCCAAGAAGATATCGTCTCTCTCCCATATATAATATCTTATTGAAACCGATATGTTCCAGATATCAAGCGGAAGACAGTCTGGATGGTCCCCCATAAATATTTGATTGTAAATAAGGTGAAAGAAGTCTCATGTAAAATTCTACATAAATGTTATCCAGCCAGTCACTACATGGTCAAATTTAAAAGGGACATAAATACTAATTGTACTTTCTGTGGGGATCATCCAGAAACTGTGACACATCTTTTTTGGTGCTGTTCTTTTACACAGAGATTCTGGAAGGAATTTAGCAGCTTTGTTATTGTCCATATTTTAAGGGAGTTTTCTTTACGATGGGAAAATGTTTTATTCTGTTTCTTTAAGTTTCCCAAGAAGTATGATAAATGTTTTTTATGATAAATTTGTTAATACTTTTAGCTAAATTTTTTATCCATAAATGTAAGTTTACTAACAAAACACCATATTTCTGTCATTATTTTAAGGATGTGGAAATGTACATACAATCAATATCAGACTCCACCAACAAAAAGGCTCTCAAAACAATATATGTATGTGAATTTTTGCGTGTATTCTTATAATTGTTACCTTTTTCTTTTACCCTTGGCTTTGTGTGTTCATGTTCTGTTGTTTTGTATACTTCATCTGTTCGTATGTTGTATACTCATTGTTTGTTAAATAAAGTTTAAAAAACCCCAAAACGCTCCTGCAAGTTTTTCAAAAGTTAGTGATGGTAAATTTGATTCTTTTTACTGAATCGAGTTTGAATGAGTCACTCACCAAAGTGAATCGGGTTTCTTGAGTCATTTGAGTCACTGAGTCAGTTGACCAGAGAGTGGAAAAAATGTACATTTTCACTCAAACTTAATTTGTTTCTCTTTTCATGTAAATCCTACTGCTAAGATGAGTGATTGAAAAAGAAAAACAACTATTTTTATAGAGCAAAAAAGAGCAAAAAAAAGTTTTCTAAAGAGAACATTTATTTTATTTATTTCTATGTTATTTTATTAGTTTTTTCCTCAAATGTGCCAAATATATATTTTCTCATCTAAATGTCCACTGAGCTGTGTGCCCCGGGTCGGTAATGCTCCTTGACATTGGTTGCCAACCAAGAAGAAGAAGAAGAAGCTGTGAGCCAGGAGGGAGGGGGTGAGATTCGTTCATGCTACGATTCAGCACAGGAAGGGAGTAACTCAGATGTGCTGTTAGCATGTTAGCAGAGCGATGCTAGTGTGAACTGAGGAGCTATTGTCTTGATGTGAGCTTTCTACAGTGAGTCAGTTGGGCTTCTGAATCATGATTCAGAGTCAGTAAAGTGATTCTTGAGTATTGAACGATTCGTTCATGATTCGTGCACCACTATCAAAAGTGGATAAAAGCACAAACATTCGTTTGTTTGTCCCTCCAGAGCTGTGAATGTTTTTTTTAATCCTATCAGCCACTTGAATTTAAACAATTTTCACATTTTTAAAATATACCAGAACTAAACTAAGCAACATTTAACACTCTTCTGATGCTCATGTTCCCCGTATGCTACATTTGAAAGCTAGTGGTCTACTCAGAACAAAGAGGAAATAAAGTTGGTGCAAGTTTTCATCCAGCTTCTTCTTTATTTTCAAGGAGTAAAACCCTGAAAATGAATGCATACTGTGCCTTTATGAGACAGTCATGTGCTAAATTATTACAGTTTTTTTAAGAAACTGACCAACTCTAACTTCAAACTTTCCTAAATGCTTTAACTGGTCAGCAAAGTGTAGCCATGTCATTTTTCAGAATCAGAATCAGCATACTTTATTAATCATAAGTTACATTTATTTAATCATATTATAATAATAAGATCATAAGATGACTGAGAACCTTCACAGACAATAACATGATTTGACTTAACCTCCTAGGACCTGGCGTTCACATATGTAGACATCACATTTTGGGTTATTTAGACCAAAATACTCAATTTTGCTCTACAAGGGCCTGATATCCGCTTACGAAGACATTATACTGCTACTGTTCTATCGAAATTTTAAACGAATATCCTCATATGAATAAAATAAAATTCTGATAATTCTTTGTTTTTACATTCATCAGGTCCCAATCTGCCCAAATATCAAAGAGAAATTAAAAATGCATGCTGTGGAAGAGTTCAGGTCTTAGGAGGTTAAAGCTCTTTATTTTTAAAATAATTTTATACTTCCCCTCCGTGGATTGCAAACGTATTGTGATGGAGGAGTTTGTGTGTCCCAGGGATCCTAGGGGCTATGTTGCCAGGAGCAAAATCCACAGATGGGCTTTCCCAAGGCTGTGGTTGAGTGGCAAGATGAAGAGGGATTCAAAAACCCCTATGGGGCGAGGCACTTCAACAGTCATGTGGGCAGCAAGAGAGAGCTGGGGAAACGGGAACGGGAGAAATGGTGTCAAACTGAAGAGAGGAGCCAAACTTTCAACTGATCACAGCCTGATGATGAGTGGTCCAAAAAGCTTCCACTGTGGTGGTCTCAGAATCTAATCGCTGCTTTTTGTGGATGATGTGGCTTTGTCATGTGAAATAGTAATATAAACAGAAATTTCAATTTTTCTATGAACGGAAAATATCAGTTAATGATACAGAAAATATACTGTGAACGGAATTTTCTGTTTTATAGCTGAAGGAAACGTCCGTAAATAGGACAGAGAGTATACTGTAAATCTACAGAATTTTCCGTTTTATCATTTACAGAAAACTCCGTCAAACCTTCGTAAAAACCCCCAAAATGTACTGGCAGAAAATTACGAGGACATTTTTTGTCTTTCTATGGATTTTTTTCTCCTTCAAGAAATTCAAAACGGCCCCACAGACATTAGCGTAATGGAAAACAGGTCATGCCGGGTCTGACCGCCTCGAGTCGCATTAAGCCGATCTGAGCAGGTACTAATGGAAAAAAGGCTTCAGTAACTCAGGAGGGGCACAGTGTAGAGCTGCAACTTCTCCCCATTGAAGGGAGCTAGCTGAAGTGGTTTAGGCATCTTACTAAGATGCCTCCTGGGTGAGGTGTTCCAGCGATGTCCAACAAGGAAGATGTTCTAGGGCAGATCCACACAGTAGAGAGATTACAGCCCTTTTTAATCAAAGTTTCCAACATTTTGTTTCAAAAGGAATAAACGTAAAAAAGCTGCACAACTTGTCACAAAACGAATTTAAGGTTAAACTCCGTAATTCCTTATATACTGTCTTGGCTAATTGGGATATTATTAATATTATTAGTAATAACTGTGTTTTTGCACTGTGCTAAGTGTGGAGTGAAAAGGTCCTACTTTAGTTTATTTTACAAGGTAATCTGACTGCTCATGGTAAAGGAGAGCAGAGCTATGCTGAAAATAATCTGATGGCCCCGCCCCTCCCTGAGCCTGGTTCTGCTGGAGGTTTCTTCCTGTTAAAAGGGAGTTTTTCCTTCCCACTGTTGCCAAAGTGCGGTCATGTGATTGTTGGGTTTTTCTCTGTCTGTATTATTGTAGGGTCGACCTTAGTGCCTTGACTGCTGTCATGATTTGGCGCTGTGTAAATAAAATTGATTTGAATTGGATATACATATATAGTCTAGGGAAAAACTGACATGCCAGTTTCAGTGATTCAAAGACATTCAACTGCTATATTTAGTTTGAAAAAAAGACATAAACAAATCAAAGAATTAATACAGGTTTATTCTGAAAAACATCCAACATTTTAAATTGAGTATCTCATATTTTCTTTGGGAGGACAAGCTCAACCCTAAAAGAGAGGGAAACATAGACCACAAGCAGGCAGGAGAAACTGAAAGTATGCCCAAGCTGTTAAATATCACAGAGATGTTGTAAGTATAAATAAGTTAAACACTTAAGAACATAAACAGTTTAGGTAAAAAAAAGAAGAAGAAAAAATGTTTTATGGTTTGCCTTAATGCCTGCATTAAGAAAACTGAGGGATGGACTCCACCTGAGGCGTGCTTATAATTTGATGAGGGCTGCGGGTTCACTAAATACAACCTAAATCTTTGACTTGGTTATGAAGTTCCAGTCTTATCTGGCTAATTTTTCTTTACCTGAGGACGCTGTTAAAATCCATAGATATATAATTTCAGATTTGACCATGTGGAAGAAATCCCACATTTATCACAGAATGCTTTATCCAAATTTGGTACACATGCTATCAATTTACAAAAACACAACCTAGTTGAAAATGCCTCATGCCATTCTGCTTTTAACACCTACTTCTTACCCCTTCATTGTGCTGTACCGGTTCATTAATGGTTCATTAATGCTCAATTTCCACCAAAAAATGGTGAAAATGCCATTTTTACCATCGCTGACACTGAATGAAATCAAATTCCTTAATCCTGAAATTTTCAAGACTGGCTACAGCCCCATTAAAACCTCAGCTAGCATTCATGTAAAAGTATGAAAACTTCAAACCAGCATCACTTTAACCCCATCTTATGGTATAACCTGCTTTATATGCACATTCAATTACCTCACTCTGTCCCTTCGTCCACTCACCCTATTCAAAGTCTTCAGTGGCATCTGATTGCTATGTCTCAACTTTTCAACATAACACCGAGCTAAACCCAGACAACATAATCCACCACTTATCCCACTGAAGGTAACCTCAGACAGATCATATATTTTCCACGTTCTTGAACTTATCAAGCACTGAGTCACAAGGCCAGCTGACTTTGGAGGGTATGAGGAGACTAAGGTAAGCATTTCTCTGTGCTCTCAATATTCTCCAATGGGGGGGAGAGACAAAAAAACCTTAGGTTAACGTTATTAAATCCTTTCATGTATATCTGAAAACCAGAATGTATTATTTTGTTTTACCTGAAGCAAGGGGAAACAGAGGATGGACTCTCTGTGAAGTTTTGATTAAAAATGAGTCCTTCATCATTTTAAGTTAAGGCATCATTTGGATCCCGAGGCCTTAACTTAAAAATAACGTACGACTTCCTCAAGTCTCTTTTCGTTGTTTGAGTTTAAATTTTTGTTCTTTTTATTTTAATTTAAACTATCATTTCTTAGCAACAACATTACTTCAAAACATAATGTAAAATGTTACAAACTCGTGGCTTTCAATGTACAAAAATAAGAGTTTTCTAATTTTATGTCAATCTCAACACAACTGCTAACAATGAGAAGAAAGAAAGGCAGGAACAAAGAGCTTTCTTGGTTAGAATAATTATAATGAAACCGTTGACTGTACTAAATTTAAAATACATTGGAAACTGAAATAAACTTTCAGCTGCAAAAAATAAAAAAAATATGTTGCCTGGTAACAGGACATAAGTTAATCCACAGTCAATGTATTTAACCCAGGAAGTGGATTTAAAAAAAAATTTAAAATAAAATAACAACAAATGCAATAAAAATAATAACATTAATAAAAGAACATGTGGGAAATAAATCCATCAAAGTCCTCAAACATCCCAAATTTCTGGACACGTTTTGTACTTTTAAACTCTAGAAAAGCACAGCAGCCGCTGCTGCTTCATAAGAAAGCTGAAAGCTGAACAAAAGCGAGTACATATACAGAAGTGAGAAGTAATATAAAAAGTAAACATCATGACTTTCACACAAACAAAAATGATAACAAAACAAACAAAAAACATACCATTTCATCACGCAGTAACAGGACACGGGATGCTAGACTGCATTTAGGTTTTATTGTCCTTTTCTGATAAGGAATATCTGGGTGACAGATCTGGATGGATGGGTTATATAACTGTTATGGATCAGACAGATGCTCACTGTCTGATGAAAACCACATATCTCCAATATATAGAATATATCTTTTATGAACCAGTAGAAGAAGAAAAAATCCCAGATTTCGGAGATACATCTGATTCATTAGACGGCGACCCCTTTTTAAAAAAATCGTTCATACAGGCGACATTTGGTTTGAAAATCCGAAAAGTCCTATGAGGACACAGATCCTTTGTGTCTTTCCGGGTGTGCTCCTGCTGGGGTCCGCAGCAGGAGCACTATGATGACATGGTTTTGAATCACCCTGTTATTCCAAATCGACGCACTGTAACGATTGCTCTGATGATAGACGGGCCACGTGGGGAACAACAACGAGCGTAGGCAGGCCTGTGTTTGGTTTCATGCATCTAAAGAAAGGCCAAGACTGATTGTATCCCAATCAATGAAACCCTTGGAAGACAAAAGACACACGGACTGACCAACCCTCTCCAGAAAAACACAATTTTCCCAGTTGCTTCCAGAGCCACTGATACTGTAGCATATTTGTTGTTGTCTTACCTTCAGATTGTTGCTACATTACCTGTTATTTCACCGTCACAGGTATCTTATGATAGTGATGTTTTCATAGATAATTACCATTACAGTACAGCAAATGCTGTTAAACCCTAGAGCCTGGCAAAATTATCTTAAAAAAAAAAAAGTAAATGCAAGTAAAGTTTCCCTCTTCTTTATTCCCCCCCCTCGCCCCCCCCCCCCCTCCCCCCCTTTCCAGCAAAGTGAACTTTGGTCTCAGAAAACAGCAGGCTTTAGGATGTGAGCTAGGTATAGTAGGGGTAAACAAGGGCATGCTAACAAATATTAAGTGTTACACAACACTGAACAATGCAGAAACCTTTTTTAAAATTATTTAAATTTTTTCCAACACCTTTGATGCTGGTAAGCTGTGACCTCAGGCCACAACAAACTCTCTTTAACTGCTTCTTTCAGCTTCTGCCCTCCCTCCCCCGTAATGACATTAAAGCCCTCTGACAACCACTCTTGCTCTATTTTAACAGTAATAGTAATAGAAAATACATTTTGGTATGCAAAACTAGCCCTATCCATCGATTTTCTTTCAGACCTGGACAAAAAATATTAAAGCTTTTAAATCTGAATGACATCCGTGAAAGCCGTGTCACATCTACAATATCCTGTAACATTAACTGCTCGTGTTCAACATTTAAATATTCATATAACTACTTTTTGCCCAGGTCCTTTGTGTCCTCGGCCCTTTTTTCGAGGGTTTTTATTCACTTTCAATTCAATCAATTTTCATCTACATTCAAATATTGAAAACAACAAAACGAGTCGCATGTAGAAATGATCACGCGAAACCTTCATCGTTAGAAACAACTGATCTACAACTGCAGTTTCATTCAACTCTTTTTCAGTTGATTGCATTGAAAGTGAATGGACAGCCGGCACGGGTTCTCTGCTCTTCCTCCTTGCATAACTTCCTCCTCCTCCTCAGCGCATCTTGTGTTCCATGTCAGCGTTGGCCATGTTTGAGCCAGGGCTGGGGTCCTGCTGTCGTCTGGACTGGTGAGAGAGAGGGATAAAAGGATGGAAGAGGGGGAAAGAGAAGAGCATGTTAAGACGACAGGAGGAAAGAGATGGCAAGGAAGGGATGAGAGAGAAAAAAGACAGTAAATTAAGTACAGATTTCCACATGTTAACAAATGTAAAGATTTCTCTAGTCTGGGGCGAACTTCAAAATAATGCCAATGCCCACAGACTCCCAAATTAAAACAGAAGTAAACATATTTACAGCCTTTCACTACGACCACTGTGAGAGCAAAGTTTTCTTTATAAATCTTCTTTAACACTTAATTAAGGCTTAACGTTAGGAGTTCACCTTCATCGCTGCTAATTCCAGTCACAGAGACGTCTCAGTAAACATTTGTGTTGTTGGTGATTTATGCAATCATCTAATGCAGTGACATGCCAGAGGCTCCAATTAACTTATAATAGTGTTTTATGTAGCACTAATTACAAGGCGTGTGTCTGCATACTGGACCCATACAGTCTATGATTGCAGCTCGCTAACATTATCTGATACTCAGCCGCTCTCATCCAAATATGGCCACCTCTGACCCGCCCCCAGCACCATGGCAACAGCAAACATGCCAAGCTTCACTTGAGGTAAGAATCTTTACACAGAGTCTGATTTTTATGTTGAAAAGACTACACACACACAGAATTACAAAAGAAAGTTGCAATACCCCAAACTGCCATTAGAGGTACTCAGAGAGCTTCATTACAGCACGACTGTGCTGCTGTTTATACACTTTACCAATGTTGATATTTTAGTTGAGGTAACTGGCAGACAGGGAGGCAGAGGCAGAGAGATAAACTGGCTGACGCAGACAAACACACTAACAAAGCAGATTATTGGGTCGAGAGACGAGGCCTTTAAAAATATGTGGGTTTAGTGTCCGCGTGTTTGTTGCGCCGTAGCATGGTCTCTTGGTGTAAAAACCAAAAAACCTGTGGTTGTAGGTTTACATTTAAGTGATAGCTGGGGGAGTTTAGCAGGGGTCAACTGAGAGCAAGAAGGGGGAGAGGTGAAGCAGAGAGCAGAGCAGACAGAAATGCAGACAGAGATAGTAAAGGGTTGCTTAGTTCAAGAGGAATGTAGTTTGTGTCATCTCAGTGACTCACGATAATAGCAGCATACACGCAGTCACACACACACACACACACACACACACACACACACACACACACACACACACACACACACACTATGTCATGCTACCATTTTAACTCCTCTTAGCCAGACTGACTCCAGGCCCTGTCAGTCTCCTCTGGAAAGCTTTCTGTTGTTCTATCAATGCTGCAACCATCAAATATTAATGCGTGGCTCATTTAGACTGACTTGAATCAAAGCTGAGTTAATTGATCACACAGCACCATCTGTGCCATGTGCGTATGTACTCCCCAGAAAATGTCATATTGGATTATTCTGTCGCTTTTTTCAGAGCCAATCGGAGAAACCCAAAGAAAACTGGGATACTGAGGCAAAAGGTTTGGGTTGAACTCGATAGCTATTACAGATAAACCATCATGACTATGACAGTCTCGTGTTTTAGATGCAAGATGATGTAAAACATTAAGAATAATAAGCACCTTTAACAACGGAGCACATAATGTAAGTATTTGTGTTTTGTGTTTACTTGGCCAGCTGTTTACTTACAGAGTTGTGATGCAACTTGCTTCCAGTACCTGCTTGTTGGTAGTTAAAAACCAGTTACAATCATAGTTGCTGCTATGAAGCAAAGGTCATTTTCAGAAATGCTCTCACTGAATCTGCTCTGAGAAGAGCACCGGGTACGACGTCATGCTTGTTTACGTGTGTGTGTGTGTGTGATAAGGAAGAAGACTGCTAATTGTACTTTTGAAATGTGTTGTTTTGGTGCTCACATTATTTGGCTGAGGACATGTTGCTGCTCTGTGTTCTCAGTGGTCAAATTGAAAAATGAAAAACAAACAAACTGTTCCCTCTAACATTAACAGCACGTAATTATGTGACTAAACACACCTTCGTTTATCCAAAATCTCAGGAAACAAGCAAGATTTTAATCAGACGGCGGGAGCTTGAGCGAGTGTTTGTCTCTGCAGAAGGGAGTGGTCCTCAGTAATCATAAGGCCAGAAGAGCTCTCTGTATTGATCCACGTAAAGATGCGAGCCTTCTGTACCACTATAGGCTGCTTAACCACAACTCAATAGTGTGTCAAGTGTGCACACGTACGTGTTTGTGTGTGTGTGTCTTGATAAACTTGGAGCAAATGTGCTGTATCTGCGAGTTTGTGCACGTGTGCCTGTACAGTATTTGTGTGTGTGTGTAAGTCAAAGCAGGGGGTCTGATGGCAATCAATACTAATGATATATTAATGCTTTTAGTGGCAGCTCATCATTCACCACCAAATCTCTCTGCTCTTGGAGTGCACGTGTGACTGTGTGTGAATGCACTTGTCTAGCTATCCTAGTGGGGACCCGATTGAGTTTTAAACCGCTGACGTGAGGACATCGTAGCGAAGGGGACCCTCGGCCAGTCGTCACATTTTCACACGTCGGGTGTAGGTTTGCCTTAAAGTGAGAATAGAGGTTAGGCTTTCACTGAGGCCGGTGCAACAGATGTGCTCATGAGCAAAGGTTTTTGCTATCACTCACCCGGTACGTAAGGCTAAACAGGCCGACTGCATAAAGAGGCTTTTGGTTGGCTCGATTCACTCTGCTTTTGAAACTAAATTCTACTTGTTTGAACTGATCTGAAACAACAGCAGAATAACTGTCCCTCTTATCAGTAAACACAATCACAAACACACAACCACCTGGACTGACAGCATCAGCTAAGCGTGGGGTTTTTGGCAGCGTGTTTATATTTTGGAAAATCACATTTGTGCACAGAAGAAAACCGGATGTTTGTCAGTTCTGTGGCGCTCCTGCTCTTGTCCCATTAGTCTGCTGTACATTAGCTCATTTTATCACATAATGTAACCGGACTGGGAGATGGATCAGCGTGCATCAGGATTTCACAGGATCCCGATTCCCACTGTTCAATTAGAGTGTCCAGTACATCCAAAGTGTCAGAGCTCCGATCGATTCACTCAAACAGAAGTCAGCACTGAGTGTTTGGACGGCGCATGTGTAAAATAATATTATTTGTGCAGGAGCAGCAAAGGGCAAGCACTCACAGGGATAGCTAAACACACCACGTGTGTGTATGCATGCAGTATTAAAAATGCATCTATTGCTTATACATCCATCATTGTGACAGGCACCCTTTGACCTTGAGTAACTGGAATATCGCTGCGTTTGGATGAAAAATGTTGTGTCTGCCAAAATGACTGGTCTTTTATATTCAATCAGCATTCACAGGAGAAAAAAGACGTCAACGTTTTGCTGCTGATCTATTTGAAAACTTCTCAACCCAAAGTTGGAGCAACATAATTTTCTTAGCCTACTAATCGGCCTAATCTTCTTATCGTCATGTGTGTTTTCCAGTACAGGTGAAACAATCAAATTTCCCTCCCCTTTCTATTTTGAAAAAGAGGAAAGAAACGAGAATTTTGCCTCAGCTCATTTTTTCCTTTCTCTTCTGTCGGAGAGAAGAAGAAATTAACTTTGCCTTTGAAGCTCAGACAGGACACAGAGATAACTCGATCACCAGCTAACGAGACACAGAGAGTTACACAGAAAGAGAGACAGATGGAGAGGTGGAGTTCAGACCACAGAAATGCAGAGGCTGAATCTGTGCAGCTATTCAGCAACACTCGTCAGGCACACCCAGAGAAAACAACAAAAAGCTCATAGCGCGATCTGCTGTGGCTGCTGTTTCTAGCAACTCTACAAACTCTGATTCTTTTGGTATGAAACAAGAATTGAAATGTAAAATCATCTGTGGGGCCGTTGCTTTTAGACAGCCATGACTCTTCCTCAGGGTCAGTGCACATTTTTTCTTTGATATAAAATCACGTGAGCTATTATCATTTTATTATTGATTTATATTATTTTGATCTCCATATGTATGAAGCTAAGCTTTATACGTTATGATTCATATATACTGATAAGGAGAGCAACAATGTGCTCATGTGCTCCATCTCAAACGTGCGTTTTAGTAACACGACCTTCACGTGCGGTTACTTTACTGTACAGTGGAACAGTTTCCATCCTCTGATTGCCGATGTGTCCAAAATCATTTTAAATGTGGAAACAACGCGTTTATACATTGTGTTAAAGAAGCTAGTGATGGTGCTTCTACTGATTTAGTGAGAGACACAAGGTTTCCTTTTTCTGCCGCAGCCTCGGGGAAGCCACATGAGCTCAGTCACATAAAAGGCAACCTGGATCAAATCTTTCTTTCTGTTTCACACGATGACATTCAGCCTCTCTTTTCTTTCATTTCTGCAGGACCATGTGCCACAAAGCTGTGCCTGAGCCGGCTGTGTGTCTCCTTTTGCAAACTAGCTATGAAACATCACATTGTGCTCACCGAGTCTCTCACACCATTCAAGCATTAAACAAACACAGTAAAATTATAGGAATAAAATTCATTGCAGAGCATGCACAGTCATGAACACACACACACACACACACACACACACACACACACACACACACACACACACACACACACACACACGGTGTGGAAATAAAAACATAGAAAATGCTGCAGGTGCTGAGAGACACACACAGACATTAATGGACAAAAACAAAAATGCAGATACACAAATGAAACTGTGGACACACACACACACATGCACACACACACACGAGGTGGTTTAGTGCATGACAGTGTGATAGATGGTGAGAAATGAAGGACACAGACCCTGTTCTTTTCTGCTGGCTGTCTGTGTGTCATCAGTCCCAGATTTTAGAAACCACAGGGTCCTAAAAAATAAACAATTTGGGGTTCATTCGGAGGGCGTCAGCTTAGGAAGGATGCCACTGATCTCCCCAAAGCCTTGCTGGGAAAGTGAGTTTGTCTCAAGCAATGAAATGCATTTGGGACACTTTCAAATTTCAAACCTACAGAATCTCAGTTTAGAAATCAGTTTATAGCGTCTACGTGCAGTTCAAAGGTCACATTTGAACTACTAAAATGAACACATCACCTTGTTTTGCCAAGTTTGCATCAATTAAACTTCTCAAAGGAATGCACAGAATGAGCAAACTACTTTCCCTTCTGAGGCTTTTGGGAAACCTGACAAAACTGTAGTCATTCAATAGTTCATGAATATCAAGTCAGATCAATTATCAGATTAGAATTACCGCCAGACTGATCATGCACTAAACCTACGGTTCAAACTACAGAAATAATCTTTAAAGAAAAAGAATAATAATTAAAAACAAACTACAGAACACAAGCACACATCACACAACCCAAGCACTAAGCAAGGAAAGCGATACTACAAATTTGATGCTGCAGATATATATTACACTCTTAATACATTTCTACTTTTAATTCACTTTGATACTTTTCTACTTTCAGCGTCTGAAAGCATCTGTGAGAAAATTCAGCAGAAGATCAAAATCATTTTCAGTGAGCCAATTTATTTTAAGAGTTGCAAACAAGAAACTGCACTACAAGCAAGCTGTGTTGGTGATGCTGTTTGCTCTGTTCAGTCCTGCAAAGCCAGTCTGTGACATAAACATGTTGGAGGGCAAAAAGAGCAGGAGCCTTTTTGCCATTTAATTCTCTTTTTCACACTAAAATGCACCGTAAAAAATAATTACACGTCAAGCTTTGTTGCGACCTCCAGAGCTGCAGTTTGTGTTCACTGTACTGCTTTACAGCTACTATAGCCATCACTGAGAGGCCCAGCATGAAACACTACTGCACGAGTCACGTTTCCAACCTTTGCATATATGAGAGGTTTTTTTGTTTTGTTCACCACAACAGAATCATTTGGGACCGGCTTTGCAAGACTGAGAAAGATTTCAAGATAAAGTAGAAATTTGAGATAAATAGTCAACATAAATAGTCTGCGATCCCTCGTCTCTCACCTCTAGATCCTCTCTGTGCGATCGCTCTCTGTCCTCAAAGTCTCTCGTCCTGCGTCGAGCCTCTTCGAACGCGGCCTGAGCCAGAGCGTCCTCGTGCTGCGAACACAAACGACAACAAAGAAAGATCGTAGTTGGTTTCCTGACGAGGAAAAGACATTTGAGTAAAAAGCAGAACTGGTGATACCTGTGCCCTTTCATCATCGTATTCCAGATATCCCATCCCATCCAGCCTTTGTAGGTCGATCCAGCCTTTCCAGATCACACACACACCGTTCAAGATCATAGGGGCCTTTAAATAGACCTGCAGGGACAGCGCGAGAACCACATTAATGTCCACATTTGCCATTTTAAATAGCAACCAATATGTGTTGTGACATTGGTTAAGTATTTGCGGCGTTTATGGTGTTGTTCAAACTCCTCTCATGTAATCACAGTTACATCTAAGCTGTTAAGGCAGATGGCAGTCAGTCATATTAAAAGTACATCAGTTCTTTCTGTAAGAATCACACAAAGATGTGTTATCTGCTCCTCACGACAGAAACACTGGGCGTGCACGGATTGTGCTTTGGCCCTGGGGTGGAGCAGCAGCTTCATGTGAACACGAGTTCATTCGAAATGACGGCTTTAAATCAGAATTTATCGGCTGTTAAAGCTCCGAGTTTGGGACGTGGACGCCTTCCTGCCGCTGACCCCTCCTGCTCCATCGTCTGTGAAACAGAAAAACCACAAAGTACGTCAAGGCCTCTCCAGAGACTCTGAGTGTCGGACTATTAAATGACACACACACACACTTGCAATTACAAATGTGTGCACGTGCGACTGGTCGAGGTCGTTGAATGTACACGAATGTTTGTGTGAGTGATGCTTTCACTCCTTTGATACAGTGTAGCTAAAATGATCAAACGTGAGTGTCGCATATCAAAAACATCTTCTTTGTGTTCGTTTTTAGAGGCATTTGAATTTCAAAGCCTCTGGAAAAGGTCTGCGGCTTCTTTAATGGTCTCATTCAGACATTAGACTGCACAGCTTTCATCCCTTTCATTATTCATTGAAAATAAATGTAATCTTGCCTCAAATGTCACGTGTTTTCAGTTAAGTCAGAAAGAGAAACGGAACAACATTAGCCGATCGATAGTAGACTGTCCACGTCACTCTTCTTTGACCTTGTTTTGTCTCTGTTTTGTCTTTCCGTCAGTGAGAGAGGTGAAATAGCTGTGATAATAAGGGGGCTAGAAGCGCTCACTTATATTTCATGAGCCCTCGTCTCTTCCTTGTTTGCTGAGCAGCACAGTGCGTTGGGAGAGGATCAGGCTGTGGTCAGGGTGCGTATGCCACAGTCTGCATGTATGCACGAACTGAGTTTAGACCACGTTCGCATCTGTAGGATCACAAAATTATTTCTCTGTTTGGATTTGCTGTTCAAGTAGCTGCAAACTGAACTACTTCTCAGTATTTGGCAATACATAAAAAAAATAATTAGAGTTTTTTTTGGGTTCCATCAAAATACTTGAGGAATAGAAAACACACGACACCAATAGCTCAAACGCTACACTTTATTTCCTGTCTAGTCTAACTTTGTTTGACTTGCTGGGCAGGCAGCATACTCAGGGTGTAACTGCCTGCTGTGGCCAAAGATACCTCTGCGAGCGTGAACCTGCGAAAATCAATATGCCTTAAAAACGCTTATATTTGATCACATTTCTCCCTTCCTCAAAAACATACTGGGCTCATTCTACCAGTCTTTGTGCTCCTGAGAAAGGCCCTCAGAGATCAATAAAAACCCATATCTAATAAATCAGTATCAGCTTGTTTGCAGCGCCCTGAACTGAGGCAAAACCCTGAAGAAGCAGCCAAAAACAGTCAGTTAAAACACAGTCAGACTAAACAATGAATTTCACAAGATTTAAGAAATTATTTCAGCCAAAAGAGTTCATAATGTACGATGCAGGACACTCAGCCTTCGTCCTTTTCTTTACTCTGATGTCTGTAACCCAATGAAGCAGCACCTCTGACAGATGCAGAGAGTGTATTTGTCGGGGTGGGAAGCTGTGAGGGGCTATTTTTATCAACATCAATAAGTATTTTGGTATGATTGAACAAAACTTAAACACATCCATAGACACACAGATGACTGGATTTCTCTGAGTGACACTGGGTGAGCTTTATGGTCCTGCATTTTTACTCAGGCTATTTTTGGACGCTCTCTCACAGGACCTCTTTTACGACAGCTACCCACACTGCACCGGGGTTGCAGGGGAGACCGCACCCCAAGAGACTGTGGGTTTTTGTGTTTATTCGAGTGAATGTTTTTCTGTGTGTGTGTGTGTGTGTGTGTGTGTGTGTGTGTGTGTGTGTGTGTGTGTGTGGTGTGTGGTGTGTGTTTGTAGTGTGTGTGTGTTTTCGTGTGTTGTGTGTGTTGTGTCCTGTCGTGGTAGTGATGTGAAGCAAGAGAAGAAGAGGAGATGGCTTCACATCTAGTGGGGCTGCACTATTGCTTTTAAAAGAAAAGGCTTATTTAGCTTGACAAGGGAAAAGCACGTGTGTGTGTCTGTGTCTGTGTGTGTCTGTGTGTGTGTGCTGTGTGTCTGTGTGTGTCTGTGTGTGTGTGTCTGTGTGTCTGTTGTGTCGTGTGTGTGTGTCGTGTGTGGTCTGTGGGAGCTATGTGTGTGTGTGCTGTGTGTGTGTGTGTGTGTGTCTGTGTGTCGTGTTCTGTGTGTGTGTGTCGTGTGTGTGTGTGTGTGTGTGTGTGTGTGTGTGTGTCTCTGTGTGTGTCTGTGTGTCTGTGTGTCGTGTGTGTCTGTGTGTGTGTGTCTGTGTGTCTGTGTGTTGTGTGTGTCTGTGTTCTGTGTGTGTTGTGTGTGTCGTGTGTCTGTGTGTTGTGTGTTGTGTGTGTGTGTGTGTGTGTGTCTGTGTGGTACTGTGTGTTTGTGTGTTGTGTGTTGTGTGTGTGTGTGTGTGTGTGTGTGTGTGTGTGTGTGTGTGTCGTGTGTGTGTGTGTTGTGTCTGTGTGTGTGTGTGTGTCGTGTGTGTGTGTGTCTGTGTGTCTGTGTGTTGTGTGTTGTGTGTGTGCTGTGTGCTGTGTGTGTGTGTGTGTGTGTGTGTGTGTGTGTGTCTGTGTGTGTGTGTGTGTGTGTGTGTGTGTGTGTGTGTGTGTGTGTGTGTGTGTGTGTGTGTGTGTGTGAGAGGGGAAAATATGTAGAAACGGCCTGACCACAGACTTCCTTTTGAGAGAGAACCATGTCAACCCCCACATCCATTTACTAAAACACACACGTGAAGACAGGAGAACTCACACACTGCAGCGAATATGAAAAACAAGCAGAGTGAAATCCAGTGGAAATGCGAACCACACGGTGAAGCGTTGCCTTACTCTTGGTCTCAGAGACTATGTATGTACTGATTTAACTGGTAAGAGTTACACATACTTTATAAAGTGCGACCATCCACTGTGAGTCTTCCTCACAACAACATTTGAAGCAAACTTCACGTTTTCACTTGTAAGAACAAACAGACTCTAAAACCACATGTGCCTACGTGCTTCGTCATCACACGTGAAGTTTACTGAGGTTAAATATATTTCACATGGTTTCCCATAACCGTGCATTTACCAGGGCGCCGCTGCTGTGTCTGTGTTAAAGGGCTGAGCGTGCATACAGACTTCTATTAAGTGATGTTAAGCATGAAAAACATTTTCCTTGGCTCGATTTTGTTCTTTTACTTGGAGTTTGGGCATTTTGTGAGAGAAATCATTCACTATTTTGAGTCCATGGCCTTTCAAATCGTACTTTCTCTTTGATAGGATCATCTCTGTGAGCTGTAATGCAAAGGCAAATCTGTGCTGTGATGCCTGTAAAAGCTGTAGTTGTAAAATGATTCATCATTTTCATTATTCGAATGTTAGATTTTATACCAGCGAGTCTCCAGTGGAGCCTGTGACAATCTGAGATGTGTTGGATTTATTTCCATTGAGGTCAAAATGCTTCTTTTGTCTTTTTCTCCGATCAGATCGATTTCTCTTTGGACTCTAACATTAAATGTTAGAGTCTGCGACTGGGGAGAGTGCCCGCCCTCTGGAAGACATCCTGCATCGTCCCGGTCCCTAAAAGGAACCGGCCCAATGAGCTGAATGACTTCCGACCGGTGGCACTGACGTCACATCTTATGAAGACTCTAGAGCGACTCTAGAGCGACTCTTCCTCAACTTCCTCCGACCACAGGTACAACATGCCCAGGACCCCACTACAATTTGCATACAAGGCGGGTGTCGGAGTGGAGGATGCCATCCTGACCATGCCTTTTCCCCCATCCAGCCCACTCACACCTGGATGGGGGAAAAGGCACGGTCAGGATCCTGTTTCTGGACTTTTCCAGTGCCTTTAATACCATCCGGCCCTGTATGCTTCAGGAAAAACTGAACAGGATGGAGGTGGACCCCTGCCTGGTGGCTTGGATCTCCGACTACCTCACCGACAGACCACAGTACGTCAGGCTG